ATCCTGATATTGTTATGTGAATAATTTTGAAGGCAGCAGCAAAACACCATCCTCCTCATACGGTGAACATGCTTAAGACTGCATTATGGTGACAGACTCAGGTTACATTAATCATTAAAATTTACATGACCAACACCACTGCTGTCTAAAGCCTTTGTATGTACCAATTTTGTATAGTCCAAAGTTTCTTATGTTGTATTGCCAAAATACTGGCTTTTTCTGACTGCCTGAAGAAGTAACAATCAAAGCTAAAAAATCCTCAACAAAATAACCCACTGAAATCAGAAAAGTAGGGCACCATAATTTTTCGTAATAGATTTTGAAGTAGGACTAATACGTAATTGTACTGTTCTAGCAAAGCTTTCTCTTACATTCTTTGGAAAAGGGCATCAAAACATCTGCACAACTGCACCAAAAGTTCAGCACCTTCCACTCCTATTTAATTACCACATCCAATCATATTTTACAATAAGATTTTGAAATGTTAAGAGGGAAGAAATGTTTTTGATCAAAACCAACCATTTAGACATATTGCATGGGGCTCAGAGCACAAGGACTCCCAATCCATAGGAATATCACTCCTCTGAAAAAGCTGATGATTTCAGCGTTTTTCATGTATGAAGTGTGGTGGATACCACCCCAAAAACTCCTGAAGGAAGCATGCTGCTGAGCAACACAGGCTTAGAAAAGATAAAAAATTACAGAAATGCTACAGTGTTCTCAGATCTTCACAATAAAACTGTTCACATTATACAGAATATACTAATCCTATTCCAAGTGAATGCTGTATGCTAAAAGCAGGTCTCCAATACAACCAAAGAAGGGAATGGCCTAGTGTGAGGTAATGAGATGCTGAGCATTATAAGATTATACAGCTATTGTGTTTATCTACTCCAAACTCTGTGTCTAAAAGAGTGTAACATGAGAGAGGGAGGAAGTGGGAAGAAAGCTGAATGAAACAAGGGCATAAAGTTCAAGAAAACCACTGGAATTTTCCAGTTCTAAAAGCAATTATAACAGTTTTTTTCAGAAGCTGCACTGTCAAACCAGTATTACTCCCAAATACAATATCCCCAAAGACTGTAAGGCTTCACGATAGGTAAAAGCCATGGTATCATTTACTATTTTAAAAAGTAAAGAATCTCTGTTCGTTATGAAAGCTAGTTTCTCATGTGCATTAAGTGAGAGCTTTTTACAGGAACTTCGGTAACATTCACCTCCTAGCATGGCAAACAGACCTGGTAATACTTGAGCCAGAGAAGTGAAGAATAAAAAGTTGTCTGTTTGCTCAGGATGTCTCCACGACATCAGCACCTTATGCATTTCAGCAAATATAAGCAAAATGTTCTCTTTTACCTTTGTGTCCTGAACATTTTAAAAATGTTGCTTTGTTGTATTATTAGAATGAGACTGCACAGGATAACGGACTTGTGCTTATTCCAATCTCTCCTAGGCATCAGACACTGAAAAAGGTGCTGACAGCAGAGCACTCATGTCTCAGAGTTAACAGATTCATTGTTCCAATGCAATTAAATATTCTGCTAGGTTAGGAACACAAAGGATAAAGAAGTTGTACAGAGATTAGTAAAAATAACAGAAAGATCTTCTTGCAATTTTACCATGCATTCTTGAATGTACACACAAAGCTACTTTTATACAGTGCAAAGAACATTCACACAGCTCACAGCTATCCAGCTCCACATCCATACTGGTGAAGTCCACCCTCCTATGTCTATCAGTTTTCTATCTGAAGAATCACTCTTTGGGCCTGACAAACATTTATCTTCCAAGCTCATGGTTTTTTTTACTCAGAGCTCTATATCTAAATTGTTGTTGGCCAGTCTTCGCGAACGAAGATCCGGGGAAGGTCTTTACACCTTCCAGCCTGCGCAATGGATTTTTTAGGTGAGACACAGTGTGCGCGGAACTGAGCCCACCCTTTAATCCTGAGGTTACCATTCACATAAACTTGTATTAGACAATTTTGGTTGATTCACCCTTCAACTGCTCATGTGTAGACACTGAAGAATTACATTTCAGACACGATGCAGATGTTTCTAAAGAAAGTCAGCACAATTTACCTCCTGGAAAGCTAATTTTTTTTTGTTCTATGACAAATACAAACACAAGTATCAAATTTTAACTTAACTGTGTATGTATGCTCAAATTCTGAAAATGACTGAGTTACAAAAGAATTAAATTTATTTTATACTCCTTTTTCACAAAACTGATCTTTTAGAAGACTTTGTAACTATAAAAACCCATATGGGTTTTTTACCTGTTCAAATTTCCAGCCATCGGACATTGTGGAAACCATTTGAGTGAGTTCCTCTTCCTGGCACTGCAGCACTCTGTATACGTGTTTCACTGGCACCTTCAAGAAGAAATATAAGATGCTCAATAGGTCATGGAATTCACCATGTTTGTGACTTGTCTGAAGTAGCCCTTACTTTCTAGAAATGATAAGCAACACCACTTGGAACTCATGTGGAGCAATGAATAACTAGGACCATTTTAGCTGAGACCTTTAGTAAATGCTACCAGAGCAACCCTGCGATCCCACATCCTGACTTCAAGAGAAATTTGGCAACATGAGTTTGGAACATCTCACAAAGACTAAGTTACAAAGGAAGGCCAGAGCAGCAGAGCTAAAGAACAAACTTTCTCTATTGTGTTCACTTCCATGGAGAAATATTCATGAGCTGCTATGAGAAGAAGCAGTCTTCTCAACCACAGAGCGCTACAAATAAAGAAGATAACTTTGCGACAAAAAAAGAGAGCTAAATAGCATCTGTATGCACGCTGCGTAAACATACTGTAGAAACAGCAGTTGTACCATAATTAGGGAACCTCATGATATTCAGAGTACTTAAATGTAAATGAGAAAGATATATTGTAAAAAAGCTGTTCTCTAAAACGACTATTTGCAGAAATGATATGACAAATTCTACTATTACCAGACATTTTGGAATAATTATTTAGACTGTTTCATGTTTTGTACAAGATTTGTGAACTTTGCAAGTAGATTGGCAGGAGCCAGTAATTAAGAATATTAATCCTTGTATACTAAGGGTTCCAGCTCATCCGGAGATGGAGGCAGCCATTCAGTATCTTACTAGGGAAATGAGCAGTTAGATAAAAAACATATGGAACCCACCCAATGCTTGTCATAGAACAAATAATCAAAAGCACACTAGAAAACAGCCTTACCTGTGAGATTTTGCTGTCTCTTTCCCTTATTTTGTCCTTTACCAGTTTTATTAGTGACGTGATATTGTAGAATTCAGCCTCTTCCAGTACACCTAATTTGAAAACATTTTTTGGAAAGACAGTGTAACCAAAGATTCCAGAACAAAATCACCAATCAGTTCCTATGATTATCTTCTCTACATTAAAAAATTATTTATTTTACCCTATGATAAAATAATTTACCAACCTAATGATTCTTGCCTCCTTCAGGCACAGGTAGTTCAATGTTTAACTCATTCTAAAAAATTGTCCTAAAAAACCCTCAAAGAAAACGGAAGCCATTTCACACACAGAATGAGGCAGGAAACAAAAAAAAGGAGCAAAAACATCATTCCATAGCAGACTGACAGACAACCATAGCTCAGGCCCTGCCTCTGGCTGGAATGCAAAAGAGAAATTCAAATAATCCTACTGAAAAGCTCTGCAGCTGCTAGCATGCAAGAAATTTTTCTTCCTATCATTTGAGTTCTTAGATCCTGAAACAAAAGCTTCAAGTTACTGCTTCAACTCACACGTTCAAGGCTTACCTGTTCTCCACATGTAGTATGAGCTTAACAATACAAGTAGAAATTATATTTCATACTATTTTCCACTAATATTGTTAAATTGTATTTATCTTTGAAAAATTTCTTCAATACCTTATCAATACAGTTTTAGTACTATATGTTTTAAAACAGTCATCCTCCATTAGGGTAAAATTGTTACAAACTGGGGACAGGGAGGAAGAAGCTGAGGGCAGAATTTAGTCTACAAGAGCATATTCCACACTTCCGAACACCCCAGGCCTTCACCGTTACTTTGATTTACATCTTCCCAATCTTGTTTCCCAGGCAGGATTCTTTTGCTTGAAGAGGACTAAACCCAAATATTTCACACAGTCACAGATGAAAGATACAAGACTACACAATAAAAGACTACAAAATAAAATACTTATAGGCATTGTGCAATTAGGAATCATACGCAAAACACTCAGCTAACAGCACATACTATTAACTGCATGATGCCTATCAGCTTTGCTTGAAACAGATTGAAATGCTACACTGATTAAGATTTACCATCTACTTCTAAATTAGTTTTGATGACTCAAAAGCAGTGAAAATACTAAGCAAGGGACAAGTAAACAAGTAAAGGATATTTAGGAATGTCTTACCTTCCTCAGCTAGGTCCTTGTTAATAACCAGTTTCCCGTGTCTCAGATAGTTCAGCACTGGCCCAAAGTATGTTGGGTCTCTGTCTATTAAATAGGCACCCGTTTCATCCTAGATTAGAAAAATAAACAAACAAAAACCAAACAAAACCCCAAACAAAAACAACAAAACACAAAAACCCAAACAAACAAGCCAAAAAGACCACAATGATTTGAACATCCAAGTGAGAATTGCAAGCTAATATTTAGCTTGGCATCTGAATAGTAAGCAGGTATTCAGATGTAGCCATATTCATTAAAGCCAAATTTATTAAAGACATTAAAAGGAAGAAATTCAGCAATGTAGTTGTAACTTTACCAGACTGATCACTCGAATCATGTACTACACAACTGCTCTTATCTGAATAATCACCCACAACCATTTATCAAAGATTATCAATACTGCTAGCATGAAAGATCTAAGTAGTAAGTGAAAAAACACCGGAAGTCAAGGTTAAAAATAAAACAAAGTGAGGAATTTTGTTTTTGAAATCTGAACAAAGGCTATATTCTAACAAGGCTCAAATATCAGTTTTTCCTTTTTCTTTCTTTTTTTTTTTTTTTTATTAAAGGCAAACAAACCTACTTTTTTTTAACCTCAACACTTTGTTCTAAAAACATTTGGGTTTGTCTTAGCTCCAGTGTACAAAAACTCAGGGTACTGAGAACTGCCATGTACCAAGCAAGGGTCGTATGTGGATCTTCTAAAAAAAAGTACACTGGAGTTGCAGTTTCTACCTACCTCGTGCAGACAGTGAAGGAATAGATCAAATTAATTAACACTCAGTTTACTGAACAGAGTACAGCATTTTGTGAAATGCAAAAAACATCAAGAAATCCAGAGCTGATATTCCTGACAAAGAGATAAAGAAGCAAAATTGGTATCTCCTGTGTTATTTACAATCTATGTATGAACTCCTGTGATCAACGCAGTACTGATATCTTTTGTGCTGGCCAGAGGTCTAAGGAAGATTCATAGGATAGATGTCTAACAGATCTATTGCTTCTTTCTACTACCAAATGGATCACTGACAGTATTAATCCTTTAGGTTTTGGCACAATAAATATCTTACCAATACATGTTGAAGATGCGGCAGCACCCCAAACACTCATTTTACTTATTCTTAATATTCTAGTAGTTTACAGGAGATACTAAAAAAAGCATCATTACTAGCAATCCTAGCTAAATTTGAATCATTCTCCCTGGAAACCACATATGCTAGTGATACTTGCTGTTCCACATGAAAAAAGAAAATTCTACTGACCTGATCCTTTGCATTTGAACATTAATGCTTATATATAAAGGTTTGCTTACTGAACTCAAATACCTGAAAACTCTTTCTACTTAACAGGACCTAGAGTTCCAAAAAATACTTAATTGGAAAAAAGATGGCAGATATATTTACAGATACATGGATTTCGTTTCTGAATAACTGCACTTGTCTAGCTGGGGTTGGTAGAACGTAGAAAGACCAGAGCCTGAACTACAAAAGCCATAAACACTTTTCTATAATCACAAGCTAAATGCTGTACACACTTAGACACACTGTCACTTTAGAAGAAGTGAAGAGGTGTTTAATTTTATATAAAATTAACTGTTCGAGAAAATGTTTAATACATTAAAACATGATGTCAGCTAACCTACACTCAGATCAAACAATGCTTGATGAAGTCTAATCACAATTTCTTCTGATCTAAACTCAAGGTCTCACAGAAGTGAGGCTTTGCACCAAAACCAGCAGATAGACAAAGTGCATAAGATAGTATAGTTTTAATATGTCACATTTAAATACATTTCTATTACCAAAACAATTCAAGAATGAACAATCTACAGATAAAACCCAAAGAAATTAAATTAGCTGACAACTGTACAAATTATAAACTGAAATGTATTATTCAGTACAGGAATAGAAACCAGTCAAGCTGAAAAGTATAATCTAAAACAGATAAAAAGAAACACTGTTTTAAAGAAGAAAAGGGCAGTATTTGGTCATCAGTTGAACTGAATTGAGAAACATATGGGCCAACAAAACTGGAAGTCCCAGTTAAGAGAAATACATCTCTAGAAATAATCTTGTTCAATAAGATTATTGTAATTCTTTACACTACAGTGTTTGCTCATATCACCTTATGAAGTAATACTGGTCACCAGCTCTACACTACAGAGACAGAGAGGTGGGTCTGGGAAGCAAAGTAACTAAAAGCTCTAAATGAAATATCAAGTAACAGTGGCTACTTCACTCTTGGCAAAAAAGGACTTGAACTTTTTTTTTTCTTTCCTCTTGTTTTTTCCTTTTTTTAAACAGGCTACAGTATGTGAAATTTCCCTTCCCTAAGTAGATTTCTATATACACTAAACAAGCTTTCAACATAATCACAAAGGGAAGAAGCTATGTCAGGCCTTCTCTTTAAACTTCCACCTTATGAGAGGTCACGTATGAATTAAATGCAATTCCAGTAGTGTCATCGTTTACTCTGTGATGCCCTTTCAGGCAATAATGTGTCTTGAAAAATAATAAAAAAGAAGGCACACGTAAGTCTTATAATTTATGATGCAATAGAAATTAGCAAATATCAATACTTATAAACTCTGGCTAAATGCTAACAGTGTGCAGTACAAATTCTGTCAACAGCATTCACTTTAGCATGTAAATTCCCTGCAAAAACTGCCTACCCAAACATGTCTACAGATATGGAAAACATGCATTAATTAACATTACTCCAGAGAGGAAGATGTGTGTCTTGAACACTGACCTCACAGCTCTGGTTTGCTACAGACTAGCAGCAGGGAGTCACCCAAAAAGGAAAACCAATCAGTATAGAATATTGTAACCATATGCAAAAAACGCACGGGCAAAAGGGGCACAAAATTTACTTTCTCTGCATCTTCCTATAGAAAATGCCTTATCGCTCCTCCTTTAGAATGAGCTGCCTGAATATCCTTCAATATATGCTAAGCACTTCATGTTGAAATCACTAAGAAAAGCCGATTACACTAGATCTTTAAAGATATTTATGTAAACATAAATCCAATAAAATCTGACACAGAAGTGTAGTTATCTGCTCTACCCAGAACACTCAAAAACTAGGTCATACGTCTATCAGAATATCATCAGGATTGTTTTCATCCACATGTACATGAAAGCACATTGTATTCTCTTGTGTAATTAGCATTTTGACAATTTCTAAAAGAAAGTTTTATTTTAAGATAAGAATATTAAACTGCAGTTAACATGCAGTCTAGAAATTTAAATACATAGTTACAGTCTGCACAGACATAACTACCCTTAGGTTGCTAGCTTAAATATTAATAGACTTTGGTGTCCCAGCTAAGCAATTTCTTCTTCTAACTAGTAAATTAGGCTTCTACAAGCTTCGAGCAAGTTTGAATCTTCACTGACAACAACTAGAGTGGGTATTTAAAAGACATTTCCCAAACTTCAAGCAAATACCACAAATGTCAGACAAATCTATATTCTAATAAGATTTCAGTTTTCTCTTGTGTGTATATACATATAATGCAAACAGGTGATAATGTTCACCAGAACAGCAGCTGAAACTCATTTCCCCTCTATTCAGTAATCACATCACCCCAGATTTTGACCCCAGAGGTGTTTCATGCAAATTTTGACACTCTTCATAAGAAAACTCAAAGCAAAAGTGCTAATTAATCACACAAGTGTTTGTATCTTTACCCAGTTCTATTTTTTGCATTACATCTCTAGCAAGTTTTTCCTTCCTTGTCCATAAGTCCTAGAAACTTTTCTACATGCACTTACGAGGGCACCATTTAAAAGACAGCATTGCTCAGGTACAGTGAACCTGCATTTGTTTATCACCACTCTCCCATACCATGGAATTTTAGAGGAAGCCCTAATAATTTGCTCTTAAATTTTCAATCACCTAGTTGAGCAATACACAAGTATTTTCAAAGAATTTGAAATATATTGCCCACAACATTTAACTGATTTGTGTATTCCTGTTGCAAACATTTCCACTTTAATTAAAGAGACTGAGGTTCAAAGGAATCATAATGAACACTTACCCTGATCTTAGTTTAAAACACACACAGGACTCAATTTATTTATAGTGAAATTTAACCTTTAGAAATAAGTGGTGAAACCTAACCATTTAGTCCAAGCCATTCCAATAAATAATTACTCTCACTGTTAACATTATGTGCTTTCTAGCATGGACATCTATAGTTTGACACTTCAACAGTTGGACCTGACAATAGACTTTTGCTAGACTAAACAGGCTTCACTATTAGATTTCTAGTCTCCATTTATGTACTTCTGGACTGAGAAGTCACTCCTTAAACTCCTTGCCAACAAAACAGTTTTGTTCTTTATTACCTTCCGTCAAATCATGTTCCATGTTGTGACTACCCAATACCCCAGTGTGACACTGAATTGTGGATACTAGAGTCCGGTTCAGGATTCCAGTAAGACTCAAACAGTGGACCAAATACATACACCTTCCCAATCCCACTTAACAATCTCCCTAAGAATTGCATTAAAACAGTATTTGAAATGCCATAAATTTATTTCCAGTTAATTATCTTCATTGAGACCAATACTTCTCCAGAATGGATACACTCAGAATCCACACCACGAAGCTAAGTATTTTAAAAAATTACATCATTTACATATATTGAGCAAGCACAACTTCTGCTAAAGGCAGCAATATGCACAGAAATACAGTAATATTTGGCACTAAATCTGGACTTAGAAATAATTGTATCCCCTACCCTCTGTGCTTTTTAAATATTGAGCTAGTTGCCCAGAACATATTTTTCACAAACTATGTGGTCTAAAAACTTTGAGTGTCAGCAGACTGCCCGTACTTATCAAAACTACATCACTAACACAACCTATCTAACTAGTCAAAAATGTCACGGACAAATATAGTTTATCTCAGTTATTTCTTAGAATAATGACTACAATTTAGATATTTCTCAGTAATGACAGTTAAGGATGTGCTGCCAGGAAGATTTTGATTTTTCTAAAATACTCAGTGCTTGCTTGCTTCCTTCCCCAACAGATTCTACCTCAGTACAAATACATCTAACTTTAGAAAGGCATTAAAAATCAAGCACAAATACTGTTGCCAAAACCTTACTAAGAAAGTCTGACAATCTACTCACTTACGGGAAAGTTAAAAGACTGATAGACCAGTTTGTAAAAGGAAAATTGGTATATAGCTAAAGTAGGAAGGTGTTGAAATAGACAAATATCTGGCAATAATGCAGTAAAAGCATTAAACAATGATGAAAAGGTGAGCAAGGCTCTGCTTCTCTATTTTTATGTATTCATTTCTAAAGCAAGATTTAAATATTCCAGAAAACAAATCCTATTGTTAAGAGTAAGTATGACTACTACCACTCGTTTGCTGAAATGATTCTCAAAAGGTCTTAAATACAAAGTTGTGCGTGAGCATGACACTGTGACACATACTAAATTCAGAGAACCTATGTCACCATCTCATTTCATTAAACAGTAGTTTTGCCGCAGGGAGTGCCAAGGTTAATCCTTCCTCTGTTGCAAGTGGAAACATATCTGACAACGTAGGCTGCTCCACTCTACTCAACATTAGCACCTGAAGGTAGTTTGAAAGCAAATGTGCTCTCTTTCTTTAAGTCTTTCAGTTCTTTTTAGCAGCAATCATTAAGGAAATCACAGAATATCTTGAGCTGGATCAACGACCCTTGTGAGTCCCTTCCAACTCCTGGACCTGCCCACAACACCCCAATAATCCCACCTTGTCCCTGAGAGCAGTGTCCAAACACTCCCTGAGCTCTGTCAGCCTTAGGGCCATGACCACTGCCCTGGGGAGCCAATTCAGTGCCCAACCACCCTCTGGGAAAACCACCTTTTCCTGATATCCAACCTAATCCCCCCTAACATAGCTCCAGCCATTCCCTCGGGCCCTGTCACTGGTCACAGAGAGCAAGATTGGTGCTATGCCTTGTAAGGAAGCTGCAGACAGCTATGGGGTCTTCCCTCAGTCTCCTCTTCTCCAACTGAACAAGCCAAGTGACTTGAGCCGTTCCTTCCATGGCTTCCCCACAAGACCCTTCACCATCTTTGTGTCCCTCCTTCGGATGCCCTCTAAAAGCTGTAGATTCTTCTGATATTGTGGTGCCGAAACTGCGCCCAGGACTTGAGGTGAGGCTGCCCCAGTGCAGAGCAAGGCGGGACAATCCCCTCCCTTGCCCAACCGTTGATGCTGTGCCTGATGCCCCTCAGGGCTGGCCTTCCAATCTGCCAGGGCATATGGCAGTGCCTTATCTTTTATTTAAGAGAAGCTTAAACCTTTACTCTCCCAAGTAAAGACAATTTCTGACCTATCAGCAAGCCATCTACATTTTTTAATTTACTTTTATAGGTTAGTTTAAGCTCTTCAGAAACACTCAAGCCAAACCAAAGGCAATAAGAAAAAAAAAAAAAACACTTCCACACCACTACATTTGAGGTTGTTTTTTTTTTCTCTAAATCTGGAACTAGGTCCTGTTCCCTACCTTTTTAAGTGTTCAAATATCCTTCCCAGAAGTTATACCTGAGAAAATAATGAAATCTACTACAAGCCTCACTTGGCTATATATCAAAAAATTGATATATATTTTAAAAATCAAAATTTAAAAAATTCATATATAAAAAGCAACTCTTTATTTTAAATCTGTTGGTTATATATTCAAGGGTTACAAGCTGTTCCTTTCTTTTCACTAAGAGTACTGTACTGGAAAACTCTTTTTGTTCATGCTGCTCCAAAATCACTTCCAGAGCCAGTACTATATACAAATACTTTGTATTTGTTACTACATACCACACAATAGATAATATCTTAATAACTCTTCTTTCCCTACTAAAAATGAGTCAGAATGAATACTGAAATATTTAGTATCACCCACCATTTGCAATCTACGCAGAATATGTAATGTTTTTCTCAGAGAACTGCTGAAAGAGTGAATGCTATGCCCAAGTGAGAGGTTATTATCAAAAGTACTTTGATCGGGTTCTTGAAATTGAACAAGAGGGTGATGACAGTGCAAAAGTAACAAGATGCTAATGCACGTAGATATTCCATTAAAATGCTAAAACTAAATCCCATCAAACATAAAAAATCACACAAATGTATGAAAAATCCTGTGCTCTCTGTTGTATTTATGAGCAATTGTGTTATGCCCGGACCTAATGGTTTCACACGGCATCAGCCCACCTTACACTTCAGCTCCCCTGAAGCTCACGGACTCGTTAAATTGCACCCCTCAGAAACTGCCCTGGCGGCGGTAGAGCCGCTCCCATCGCCCCTCACGGCAGCGCCGGGCCCAGCGCTGCCTCCACTCCGGCGGCCACCCGACAGGACACACCGCGGGGACAGGGTGTGGAGGGGACAGGGGAGCGGGCCCGGGGCGAGGACAGGGGAGCGGGTCCACAGCGGGGCCCGCGCTCACCTTGTCCGAGTCCAGATCGGGATCGGCCTGGCAGAGGCGGAAGAGGAAGGACTTGGGGTCCCTGCAGAGCGTCTGCCGAGTGGTCAGGAAGCAGGTGCCCCCCACGTTCAGCCGCACCCACTTGCCGGGCCCCGCGCCGGGCGGCGGCGCGGAGCTGCAGCGGCGGCAGGGCCCGCCTGTGCCGAGGCCGCCGGCCACGGGCACCGGGAACTCGCAGTGGTTCTCCGCCGCCATCCTCGCCGCCGCCGGAAGGGGCCGCCCCACCGGCCCGGCCCCGGGCGCACCGCCCCCCGGAAGCGCCCGCTGCAGCCGCTCCCTGCCCCCTCTCTTCGGGGAGAAGCCCCGGCCCGGCCCCCGAGCCCCGAGTCCACCCCTCTCCCCACCTCGACCCACCGGAAGGAAGAGGCGGAGGCTGCGCAGGACCCTTCATGCCTTTATTACAGACTACCAAGCATAAGTGAAATCCGTCATCCAGTCACTAACTACACATCTACAGCACAGAGATCTTCGAGAGGAGAATAAACAGTCATTAAATTATGAGATATGATTAAATCATCGACCGATAGAAAATTTATATAATAAAGCCAGAAAAGAGGTGTAAAATATAGTTTACAATAATTATTCACATTCAAGGCTGTACATCAATACATACAACACCATGGCCCCGAACATGAATTCAATCCAAATAATTCATATATTAGAATTTAAATAACACAGACTGAACTAGAGGCCAACAAGAGCCAGCAAATAACTTTATAAGAATAAAAATACAAAAGTGTGTATCTTATATCATTGCATTATTTGCTTCTGTTTTCACAAGTTCTTGGAAGAGGGAAGATTGTATTGTTGTTTGTTGAGAGGGGCTAGGGTTTTTTTGTTGGGTTGTTTTTCTGTGGTTTTTTTTGTTGGTTTTGTTTGTTTGTTTTAATCTGTAAATCACAGTTACAGCTACAAACCAAGTAGAGCATATTACACATGTAACTGACTGCCACCAACCTGAAAAAAGCTAGCATACATCTATTGAAACTGAGTATGGTTCCCGATTCCAATTTTTTCTCTTTTGTCAGATACAGTAACTTTAAATTCTGTTACAATTTCGAACTTTTGCCACATCCAATCAGAGTTAGTACATGGTCACAGGAAGCTTTGTCAAATAGCAACCATCTACATTCAGTGCCCTGCTGACAGACAGAGTTCATTCTCAGGACCAGTGACAGGGCTCAAGGGAATGGCATTAAGCTGAGTCAGTGGAGGTTTAGGTTGGGTATCAGGAAAAGGTTCTTCCCCTAGAAGGTGGTAGGGCACTGAACAAGCTCCCCCGGGCAGTGGTCACAGCACCAAGGGTGACAGAGCTCACTGAGTGTTTGGACAATGCTGCCAGGGACAGGGTGGGATTACTAGGGTGTTGGGCAGGGCCAGGGGATGGATTGATGATTCTTCTGAGTCCCTTCCAACTACGATATTATGTTCTAAAACCAGGTTACTGGGTGCTTAAGAACCTCTCCAACTGACAAAAGTCATATTTCTTCTACAAAAGACAAAACATTCTTAAATTAACAGTCTTAAAAGAAAACGTGCCATTTTGGGTCACAGAACTACTTTTTTGTAAGCTCACTTGATCAACTGATGGACAATCTGCATCATAAAGCTTTGCAGGAGTATTTCCATTTGATTAATAAAATATTTGCACAAAGTATACCAGGCATTCAGCAAAATTTCAGATATAAATACCACACCTATTTGTGTAATTTACTAGTAGGAAGTGATCAGAATCCACAGGCCACATCTTTAGGCAACTCTTAATAGACAAGTTCTCTCCTCAGTAAGGTGTTGAAATCAAACGTTTTGTCCACAGGCCAAATGAAGTAATTTTCTTGACTTCACTAAATCATTCAAAAGGAAATGTACATGTGGGAAATTCTCATGATTCTTCAAAGTTCCCAGCACAAAATGTAATGATATCAAGCACATTAAATTAAGAATCTTCAACTATGAAAACTGATTAGAATCATCACATCTTTGTTTCAATTGACAGTTATTTCCAGGACCATATGTAGCAGATACTTCCCAACTAAAAGATGTCAGAGGGAAAAAAGTGGAGCACAGTACAGATACTTTGATGTTTTCAGCATCTAAGTGCTTAGCAAATGGAATTGTTATAGGTCATATCAGTTTGCTCACAATGCCTCAACATCACATCTGAAGCAAGTCTTCCTTTAATGTAAAGCCTTTACAAAACTGGATTTTTAAGGCCAATGGTAATGAACTAGTTTCTCCAATTTATTGAAGTAGTTTTAAACTTCCTGAGACTGGGCTGGATGCTGAATAAAACAGTGTTATTCAAAAGTCCTTTCTAGTAGTAATAGATGTATGACTTATGTGAAGTAGTACTTCATCCTTTTTTAAGCTCCACAATACAGAAAACTGATGCAATAGACACTTTTCTGATGTTTAAATCCCCAACAATCAAAAATTACAATACTACTGACCAGATTCTTCATAAATAATTGGCAACTGTTCAAATTGCAAAAGATAGAATGAATCAATAGATTGGATTTTCAATAGGTTTGCAGTCAGGAAGAATCTTAAGAGTTGTCTTTTAAGAGTGATTAACACTTCTTTTTTTTATGCTTTGAAAACCTTGGATTAAAAGCAGAAAAATCACCTGGCTTATCTGCAGCTCTGAAGAATCTCCTGTGTACATTTCATTCCATGAACTTTCATGAGCCATAGGAGTGATCTTCAGGACAAAGAGCTGAACTTACCCAAGGTATAAGCATTTACAATGGGAACCAGCCCATCATAGTATGCAGCACCTGTCAATACACATTTAAGTGGACAAACTGGTAAAACATACTTGAACCCACAATTGCTTTGTGTTGCCTCACTCTGTTCTTCTGCCACCTTTCAAAACCAGAGATTTCACTTACAGTACAAGAAATACAAAGACCTCTCCCAGAAAAATTCTAGATCCTTCTCAAAAAAGCGACAGCTAAGTAAGACTAGATTAGGAACACTGAAGCTCTAAGTGGAGGGATGACTATTATGAGATGCTCGTTTTCTAATGACAGCATTGTCAATTAAAAAAAGGGATTCCAGAATGCAGACATTAGCCTTCTTGACAGCTTCCTGTTACCAAGATCCGGCTGGCTGAAAGCTTTTGCCGGGCAGGACAGAAGTCTACTGAGAGAGGATTTTCAAGGTGTGAAAAAGCATAGTAATTACTTTGTTATGGCAAAATGATTAAAATTCTACATATTACAGAAAACATGGTTAAGCTTAGTTAGATTTCCACCTAGTGAACAAACCAATGGAGATCATTTTGCCAGACTTTTGTGGGAGGCCAAGGTTTGTCACACTGCACAGCAGTGGCACTGTGATTCTCCATTATTGTCAAACTCTCCTGTATAAAGTTGGGAATATGTCTACATCTCTATACCAAAGCCTAAATCCAAAAGTGGTAGAGCTGCCTCCAGTGGACACAATATATGGCTGGAATTTGACAGCCAGAGAACAAATGGATAGCACTGTAACAAACTTAAAATACCTGTCATCTTGGTTAGAATGGCAAATATAGCTTAATACAGACATAGATCAGAGGTGCACTGTGCTATTCAAATTTGAGTGACAAGGAGTGTAATTTGTATGTGATGAAATCTGTCATGATGCAAAGGGACTGCTGTTCTCTCTTCCTCATCTCAGCCATTTACAGGACACCTTCATCCCCTTAACACCAGGCACTGTAAGCCAGGGATTTACTTCTCTCAGGTCTGCGGACGTGGTGGGATACAGAAGACTACAAGAATGCTGCTCCTCCAAAAGAAAAGGCAACTGCATTGTCTCTTTTAAAGAGTGAAAGATACTGGAAAAGCTGAACTGCCATCAAGTTCAACCACAGTTTTCAAGAGATCAATAATATATCTCCTTCACCCTGTACAAGAAAATATTCGACATGCATGTGTTTTCAGAGAAATCCTGATAAGCCACTGCCTTTAAAATACTGCTTCTAGAACAGTAGCCCATGAGTTTTTTCAACACTGTAGTGAAATTTTTCTTTGGTGGAAGGAAAAGCATATCACAGTATGACTACTCAAAATTCAAAGAGATGGTATGTGTAGAAAGTGGATAAATAGGTGTGATGTTTATACTGCTTTTTAAAAAAGGAAAAATGCCTTTGTCCAGACCTTGGTCATTCCTCTCTGCAAGGTTCAGGAACACACGCATGTTGAAAATACCATTATGGGAGTTGGTTTTAGCACACAAAGTTGTGTCTTTGCAACACTATCGGAAATGTTTGACCACAAAAAAGCCTTAATGTGAAGAGGATAAAGGAAATCGATATGAAAAATATTTTCATTTTATAGATATGCTTTAGTACCATGTATTTTCCCCTTTGTACGAATATTTTCTTTTTATTTTCTAATGAAATTACTTTATGATCTAATATTTCAATTGTTTACATTTTTTTCTAGAGTTCCTGAATATTTGGCCAAGGACCAAAAATAGGATTATTTGCCATCTCATTATACAATGAGACAAAAAAAGTCAAGTAATGAATTGTACAAAGCTTTCACACTTCCTTCTCTACCCAGGTAAATAGGTTGGCCCCACTAAAACGCACAACACACGCACACCCTGGAAAGAAAGCTTCTAACTCTCATCTGCTGAAAAGGTGAAAAACTATTTACTACTTCAACAGTAACCTTTTCCCCCCATACTAACTAGCTTCTTTTTTAGTTAGCATTACTTAAAAGCATGCTGGTAAGTTTATCGTCCCTTGATTAAACACACATATCATTCATATTAAAATTTAAACTGAATGTTTAAAATCTTATATGCTTCAGAAGCCAACGTTTCAATTTAGGAAACTTTCAGTGCCATGTTCAGCATTTTATTCTCTCAAAACCTTTATCTTTGGAGCCTGTCTTCCAGACACATACATCTGATTCATTCACGTAATTACTAAA